ACAAAAGTCGGTCCGGCCGGCTCGGCCGACCCCTCACGCCAGCCCTGGGCGGGAGACCTGGGACCTCAGGGCGCGCCGCGCAGAGCCAGGGCGCCGCGTCCGGAGCTGCGGGGACGAGCGGCTGGTGCGAGGCTCCGGGAGCGCTGGGCGGGCAGCCCTGTTACAGCGGGGTCTTGGCTCCGACAGAAACGTGGAAGTGGGTCCTGATCTCCTCGGTGTCCTTTGCTGGGTCTCGAAGACCCTCTAGAAGCGGCCTCCGCCCAGCGTCCCAGCCAGCACGCGGGTATGGACCCAGCTGCCGGGACCCTCTGACTCCCGAGGAGCGGACGCCGAGGCCCCGCCCACGCCCAGACCACGCCCCCTCCACTCTCCGACCCCGCCCAGCGCCCGCCTCCCACGTGCGAGGCACTGTCTTCTGGGGGATGTAGTTTCCCGCAAACCTGGTAAACCAGGAGCGCGCTTTGTTTTTTCTATTTTGTTTCTTTGTTTGTTTTTGCGATTTCTGTTTTCTGTGAAACCGTGTCCTAAGGTTCCAAAGAGAGGACTTGGCGTCGTTTTCTCTTAAGGACATGAACACATATCTGGAGCACTCCAGGCAATGCCTTGACCTTAAAGGCCTCTAACATGGGATCCAGGCCTTGACCTTTCCCCGTGTCCCCCTGCAGAAGTACTTCACTCTCTGAGCTAGGATTTCTAGTGAAAAACGAAGATAATTCTTTAATATAGTAATTGTAAATGTTGCCCAAATCAGTAGTTTTCAACCCACATACTGTTGCTGGACTAAAGGGGTCTGTTCGCTTGCATCAAAGCCCTGTAGGGAACAGGAGCTTGCAGCAGAGAAAGGAAGGGTTTATTTTTAGGAAGTGGCCCATGCAATGTTCAAAGACCTGGCTCCCCAGATGGCTTTCAGGGGATGAGTTATATAGGGAAAAAAATCATTAACCATGGTGACTCTCTCATCATTGATGTTTCTATCTCCCTTCTTCTCTCTGAAATAAAGATGTATTTTTTTTAAAAAAGAGGTAACATGAACTTATTTAACTAATAAGCCCATGTAGAATAAAATTATTTAATGCTGATAATTTAATTTTTTCCCCTTTTTACTGAATTTATTGGGCTGCCACTGGTTAACAAAATTATACAGGTTTCAGGGAAATGCTAATGATTTTAAAGATATGCCTATTTAACTAAACCAACTCAGACCAGCTTTAATGGCAAATATTTTACTGGATCACATGATTCTGAAAAAGCTTTGGGGTTAGTTTCTGTTATACTTTTGAGAATTTTCGTATAAACACTTGTTCGTTTAAGCCAATTTAATAGAGCACCACCTTTTTAAAAAAATAAGAGTTAACTCCCTGAAACTTGCATTTTAAAATATGGCCCAGTGGAGCATTTGAGATCTTGCTCCCAGCATATGCCATCAGTTTGGCTCAAATAAACTCTTTAAGTAAATAAATAATCTGTCTCTATTAATTTGGTTATTAGCTCAACCTAGAACTTAGAAGGTAGGAGGAACACTATTAATCTTTTTTTAGCCCCCATAGTTTCAGATTTGGCCAAATTTCTGATTAAAAAAACGTCATTAAACCCTTTCAAATATCTTGTCATGTTTCAGCTGGGACAAGCAAGAAATATTTGTGGCATTATTAAGCAATTCCATGTACCCAATAAAATTCAAAGACCTAGAATCTTTCCCTCTGAGAGCCAAAAGAAAGAACTGACAGCCTTCATGTCACAGTTCCCCAGTGAGACAATTTCTATTTCTACAATACATATAGGTAAAAGAGATGTAATCCATTAAAGTCGATATAACCTCACCCCACCCTTTTTAAAACATAAAGTCTGTTTAAACATTCCAATTTTCCTCATCTTATCAAGCCTTACATTTCCATATTCTTAATCTAATTGTAATCTGAGTCAGGGATTCACCAATGGGTTTGAGAAATTCCCATCTCAAGTTGTACTAGAAATTTCTCTTCTCATCCTGTTGGGGGAAAGCCCCTGAAGTCTAAATTCAGGATCAATTCTGAAAAACTGACACATAAGCCTTTTCAAATTCATAAGAGCTTTAATAGGAGAAAGTTACACACACAGGCAAAACAGCTGCTTGCTTCCAGTGGTGGCCAGCTGAGAAAAAATCCAGCCCCTCCCAGGACAGGTCTCTTTTTATAGGGGGTTAACAGTAAAAGCATATGGTGGGTATTCACATAGACCACCAGAAAGAACAATGCATTTCTAAGTTAACAGATAACATCAGGCAGTTATCCACTTCATACACTCATTTGCCTCCTTCCTGGGGCGTGACACTTATCTTTGGGCAGCATTCTGGCTTTATGGGTGCTCAGCCAAACCTGAGGCTACAGAGTGTTAAACAAGTCACAAAAAGTTAAACAGAGTCTGACATTTCCCAGACACCTTTACTGCTAGAGACATACTGCATCTCTGAGCTCCCTTACACTATCCCCTTACCATTTACCCACTCTTGAGTAAAAAGGCTTTGAGTCCCCATCGAGGGGTTAAACCTGGCCCTGTTATTAATATTTAACTTGATTTAACCAGCCTGATTAATGCCCCAAGTAATTGCTGGTCAGGTGACTCACTGTAATGTATTCCTTCCAGTCTTTTAAATTTCACCACACTGGGGTAAATAGAATGGATTTGTTTGGGGCCCTGTAGGGGGTAAACAGGGGGTCAATTTGGCCCCATTTAGCCTTTGGTGAGGAGAGCTCCTTGTCCCCATCAGTTGCTGGTGGGAGTGGACTTTTGTGATAGCCCAAGAAAAGGAATTTTCTGAGACTTGTATGGGTGAGATATTATAGAAAGCTTTATTTCTGTGGACTTATATCCCTGAGTTTCCAAAGTCCTATTTCCCTTTGTCTCACCATGGAAGAAGTCCCATTTTGCCTTCAGCAGGGCTAAGATCAAAGCCAGTGTCTAGAGTTTCCATTCCATGCTGGGACAGTGTGTCCGGTCCTGCATTAAGCTAGCTTAGTTTGTGTTCCCAGTTGCAGTCCATCAGTCCATTTGTGTGGGGTCCATATGGCCACATGACTGTGGAAGGAACACAGGCAGGAGCAAAACCAGAGGACCAGAGAGCCAAGAGCTGAGAGCGCCAAGAGTCAAGAAAAAGAAAACTCCTTTGATTGGGGGATTATGTATTACCCAAACTTTGGTGGGCTTGTAGTGGCCCTGCCCACTCTAACCAATGGTCTCTGTTCCCAGGTTTGACTGACAGGCATTTTCTCTATGTTATCCCACCTCTAAAGGGCATGCCTTGATCTCCCCTTGGTTGGACCCCTTCCCCCAGTGATCTGTAGGGAAGGGGCTGGTGGTTACCTGAGGAGTGTGAAATTGTAGCTTCCTGGTAAAGCTGCCCAAATGGCCATGCTTATAATGTCTGGCCTCCCTTTTGCTCCTTTCCTAATATTAATAACTAGCTAATTACAATGGTATCAGACCCATGGCATATATGCCAGGAAAGTAAGCAAGAAAGAAGTGACCATACTCCAGCTGTGGGAAGGACAGAGCTGCCTTTGGGGAAAAAGGTGATAGGCAGGAACCAGTTCAGATCACTGGGGTAGATTTCAAGGCCTTACCTAGTGAAGCTATAAGTGCAAAATTGTCCAGCCTCACTTCACAGTACAGGATTCTCTGAACTTCATCAAGCAATCCCCTATTGTCCCCAGAAAAAAATTAAAAGGTGATATCCTCAAAGGTCACACAGCCCTGCTATGATGGAGACAACTGATTCCATGATTAGCTCTCCTCACAGGGCCCCAGCCCATCCTTCCATACACCCATTCCATGCTCATCATCTTCCTCAACTTCTTAATTGAGAGGAGATACCAGACACTGGTGCCATTGGGACTCTCAGCTCACACCTCATTGATCACTGGGTCAACCCACAGTGATGATGGACAGGCAGGCAGATAGATACCAACTAAGCTCTGGGCTTGGTATGCAGGCTACTGAAAAATGTACCTGGGCTTTGTTTTAATCAGGTATGGGAAGATGGCAGACATAGAGGCAGTTTGAAAGAAAAGCTTTTTACTTATAATGCCCAAGAGCAAAGAGCATGGCAAGCCATGCAGGGCCACATGGGGATGTACCAGGGTTGGTCATAAGGCAGAAGGAGTGAGGGGTCAGAGACCACTGTGGTTTTCACAGGGAGAAATGGGCAAAGCAGGGTAGGCAAGCTGAGCAGATGTAGAATTGGATAGTTTGAATAATTTTGGCAAGCTCTAGGCTATGAAGTGGTAGCTAGTTGTCCAGTACCTGGCCCTGGGATGAGTGGGCAGGAGAATAGTGTCCCAGACTGCAGAATCCTGATA